CCACCGCTGTTAGGATTCAAGGTATTGGCAAACGCAATAAACGCGTTACGGTAGATCAAGGATCCTGATCCAGTGACGAAATACTGCCAGATGATGTCATTAGCGTGGAACGTACCGACAATTGGGAGACCTGATAATTGCTGAGAATCAAAGGTGTATCTAGTAACGTCAGGAGTGTGGTTCAACAAAAACCTCCTTGGGGCTTGGAAGCCGACATCACCAAACAAAGCTGCAACTCTCTTATACTGAGGCGACAACGCATTCAACACACCGGTGTTAAACGGAGAGCCTTGAGTGACATCTTGTGGGTATAAAGTCAAGAACTGATCCAACAAGGAGGAAGACATCCCAGGGAAAATATTACTAACATACGATCTCACCTCAGCTTCAGTAGTCACGTTCAAGGTGGTGAGGCCGAAAATAGTCCCTTCATCGTTTTGGTCACCGATAATGTATGGAACCTTCGCATACTTGCCATCGGCAACCATCTGCATCAGATTGTAGGGAATAAAACCACCGTCTGGTCTTGGCATATAAGATAATTGCAAGGACTCATAGGAAAAGATCCCAGGAACAGAGTTACTCGCTGCTTGAATTTGAGCATAAGGAACGCCTCTTAAGCACGTCAACTTGTCGGAGGCAGTACCGCAGCCAGCAGCATTGGCAAAAGCATCAAATATCAGTTGTGGGAATGCCGAGTCAATGTCCCCAACTGGAAGAACAGACCCAGATTGCATGATACCGGCCCTGAATAATGGCTTGCCTTTGTAGGTGTTGTCACCGCCATTACCAATCATTTGGTGAGCCACCGACATCGAACCGGCCGATTCACCGAAGATGGTGACCTTGCTTGGATCACCACCGAACGCAGCAATATTGTCAGCAACCCATTGTAACCCAAGTCTCTGATCCAAAAGACCGGCATTACCACTACCCTCGGCCTTGATCTCCTTTCCTCCCAAGAACCCAAAGGCGGCGACTCTATAGTTAACAGAGACATAGATAAAGTCCTGGCCCTGGAGAGCACCCTGCGCCATCAACTGTTGCGGTAAGTAGTAATTGGTGCCACCAAATTCGAACCCACCGCCGAAAATCCAGAACATCACTGGTAACTTGGCGGTAGAAGAGAGACCTCTCTTTCTGTACACATTGAGAGTCAAACAGTCTTCGGATTGAGGAATAATCGCGTTAAACAACGGGGTCTGCATTACCAAGCTCACAACATCCTGTGGCAAGTTACCGACAATTCCTGACGCACCCGATGCAATCTCCATTTGAGGGCACGATGGGCCGTATGCCAGAGCTTGGAAACCATTCAAGCTCCCGGTGTATGGCTGGGGGGGTTTGAATCTCAACGGCCCGACCGGCGGAGCCGCAAATGGGATACCCAAATAAGATTCAAGGTTGTTGAGAGGTTCGTAGTTACCGGTGATGATGTCTCCATCGGGTAATGTGATTTGAGGACCCAGTAGACCGTGGACGGATGACGTTAACGCCAAAAGTTGAAGGGCTAATCCCAAATTGGCCAAAACTGATTTCATTTTGTAGGTAATATGTTTTCTTTTTTTAGTGCATTTCTATTTCATGAGATTGGTTTTGAGGGGAATGGAAGCAAGTTTTATACCCTTTTTGAAGCTTTGGTGGTATCAGCATTTAGCGGGCTTAATGCAGGCGCATTTTGCAGTAGGATGGATTTCGATCTGCGGTGAATAGGCAACTTTCGCGGGTCCACCTACCATTCTGTGCACTGTCATTCACCAGCTTTGTAAACACTAGTTATGTACGCAAGCATGTAAGCTATATCTCTATAAGACGGCACTCGTAAGACTAATAGAACAGGGACGATATTGTGTATTATTTTTTCAATTTCGCTCGACTAAACCTCTCGTAAAATGGATAAAGCTCATTTTAGCTATTAACTGGGGTCGCTTACAGGGTATAATCTTTTTTCCATATGCTTAGGTGTAATGGAAGTCTTAACTCCTCAAAAACATGCATGAACGTACATGCGTTTAGGGAATTGTGGTCATTCGCGTGCATCCTGGGGTCGGTCTAAGGTTATTGTGCCAGAGACGCCGGAAAGGGAAATCAGACACTGGGGAAAACGATTCGAAACTCTCACGGCGTGCGGAAAGTTCCCTCGAGGCTGAGATCTGTCTGCACGTGTCATTCAGATCAGCAAGAAACCTTATGTCCTTGGCACCATTTCCTAACATAAGCTTTTTCACAGCACCGTTTCGTCTGTATCTCCATTAACTCCTGCGTAGATTTTGGTGCGTATAAAGGATCGAAGGGACAAGGCATGGAAATTTGCGGTATATATAAGGCTTTAGCGGTGCCAGCTTTGACTGACCCAGCCACTAATATAGTAAGTGCAGAGCCACTTGCGAACGTGGCGTATAGCATCTTCCATTCACAGACAGGATAAGCTGCAGTAGCAATCCCCGCATCCTG